AAGAAAACTTCATCCTGAGTCTGCTATTGGATAATTAAGTGAGGCTGCCGGTTCTAAACTTTCCTTGGCGATTCCTCTGGGGCGTAAGATGTGAGTACGGTACGGGTGGATTTAGGCAGACACATAAATACCTCAGCTGCTAAGTGACCGGTTCAGATTTCCGAGAAAATCCTAATACCGTAGAGCAACATCGAATAGTCTCAACGGTGCATTCGGGCATCATGATGCTAGATGAAGATTTCTGAAGGTCGTTATGAACTCATACGTTTGAGCCATGAGTTTCCGAATCCTGTGATCTACGAGCTTGTGTGCGAGAGAGATTGATGATTAGTGATTGATCATCCAGTCATTGACATAAAGATCATTGCCAATTGACATAAACGCAGTCATCGTTCAGCTGATGAGGTTCCACCCGCATCAACACTAGCCTCAAGGATTATACTGGGAGTTCTCTGGTAGTATTATCATAATACTATTATTACTGGGAGATTTCCACAGCTGTGGTCTATAGTACGGTAAATGCTCTCTGAGCAAGTCACACATTTCTTTCCGAACATTTATTCTTCTTCTTGAAATGGACAAGCAATTCGCTCCCTGTTGCTCAACTGAGAGTGTTCTGATTCGAGACTACCTATTCTCAGGCACCGCAGTGGATCTCACTGGACATCAGCCTCTACTATGTCTTCAAACTCCTGCATTCCATCACCGAGGGCCTTGGAGGCAAGCCACTCTGTATGCTGTGTAGGATCAATCGCACTATATCGATCATACTGGACGGTGTTACACCGTCTTCTCAACTGGCAGGAATCCCATCTAGTCGATCCCCATAGCTCACCGTCAGCGGCCTGCCGGTGTTCCCTCATAGCCCTGCACTCTCTTGTAGCTCGAGATCTCCTGATGGCGATAGTGAGCATGGTAATGGCAGAATAGTATCCATCGAGTAGGCTGAATTGGATGTGGTGACACGGGTACAAACATGGGCCGAGAAAGTACTAATGATGGTAGCGATGTACACGTGTTGGCCTGTTTTGATTACATGAGTCACATTTCGTTCGATGAAGCCTCGAAGTGTCAAGTGTTCAGTATAGCTCGCAGAGATTTGCCCAACTATTATGATGTGAACGGAGAAAGCTTCATCGAGGAACACGATTATGAACTCCAAGTGGACCGCTACGGGAAGAGCTGAGGTTGATCCCAGTTGAGCCTGTACGGTTTCGTGGGGAGCTTCGACAAGGTCCCCGTCCAAAGTGTTAGATCATGAAGGCTCATCCTTAGGCAGTTTGGAGGACCTCCAACTTGCCTAACCACTATCTAGAACCCTAAAGATCGACTTGGCAGGGAGAAGACCGCTCGTCATACTGCTATGTTCAATTGTTGTAAACCGCATGGATCATCACACATCCAGTCGAGTTCAACGCAGTAGTCAGACCACATCCAGACTACACACCCGATATCATCAGAATTGTTACAGGCTACATACTCGTCGTTACCAACAAAACAAACAATATGTTGTTACGGAACAATTATTTTCAGTCGTACCAATGACTAAAGCAGATCTGCAGATGAAACAAGTCGAAACTCTAGCCTACGGAACAATACTGAATAGTTGGTGCTGACACCATTGTACTGTCAAAAGAATCGATAACGGATACGTATCCACACACTAAACGCGAAAAAACATTTTACATCTCAACAGGGCGGGGCATAGCAGCATCGTACTTGGCCCAATCCTTGATGGGAGCGAAGTAGCTGAACAAGGGGTAAGAGAAGTAGAGAAGACCAAGAACCCAAGCCATGAGCTGACCGAAGAAC